CATTAACCTTTAGATTATTTTATATCAAAAATATGTAATGAAACTTTAAGTACATTTCCATGTTAGGCACTTTCCATTCAGTCTTAAGCCATATTTTATATTTTCTGATAAAGTGGTGTATTACTATCTACTCATATTTCACTGGCCCGTCAGTAGAATATAAATTCACTATCTCCACTTACTGTTTTCACTGAGTCCTATGAATTTCTTCTAAGCTAAATTCGGCCTATACCATGCATTTCTCTCTGATTACTGACAAAATCGCTACACACAGAGTAATTACAGGTGACTGGCGACTATATTCAACCATGTAGCAAAACAAAAAGATCTTTTCTCTCATGAAAGCAGTTCATCCTGTGTCAGTGATGTTTTCTATAGCGAGCTTTAAATTTATGTTGAGTAAAGCGAGAAGTTTAGGGCTCCCCTTTTCCTGTCTACAGGAAGTTAGAAATGAGATACAGAAGATGAGATCCCTAAAGGAGGTTAGTGCGGGGTTATGTGCCTAAATACCTGTTCCAGAGTAATTTTCCAGCTAGTTAGGTGGATATGTTATATCTGAATGAAAATACTCCATTTTACAATTAATTCTGTTACATTTGGCATGCAGCCAAACATATGTCCTAAGGGGACTGAAAAGTATATCTATGGATGCAATACTTATGGCATGCAGCCAACCTCAGAAATACAAGCTCAATAGATGTCAGCTATTGAAATTTCTGTAGTTCGGAAATCCTGACATTCAGCCTGGAGGTGTTAATGCTCCAGATACACCAGATAACCAAACCTTGAAAAAATAGGGCTCATGTTTCTGAAGTCAATAAACATGACTTTCCACATCGAAGAGGGAAACCCACCCCTCCCATTCCTTACAAGTAAATTGCTTGTAAACTGAAAACAAAAATAAAAACAACTTCTGACTCCAGTTTTGGAGATTTCAGAACTAAATCCAAACTTTGTACTTGGATTGGTTTTAACTCTCAAGGGATTTCAAGTGGCAAGAAAAATTGTAGTGCCTGTGTCAGACTCCCAAGACAAACTGAACTCATGACAGAAAAGTAGCAGTGGCTATTTCTTGGCTAAACTTGATTTCTTAGGGAGGGACTCCTCAAGAATTCAATGTCATTTATATGTTGTTTTGATGAGAGAAACTGAAATATCCAATTTTCATTAAAAAATTCTTCCAGTATTAACAGCCAAGGGATTTAGCCTCCCAAAATGATATATTTAACAGCTTTGCTGATCTAACTAAATTGACCCATTCAGAAAATGTCTTTTCATAAATTAAAGATTTCTGTATGTGTAGGCATTTATTTATCATTCCGAAAAAAAAAGGTTTTAAAGGAATTGATTACTAAAACTGTTCTAGAAAGTCATACCTAAATTTAACATATAGCATTTCTATTGCTATGTCTTAAAAAGTCAGGATTCTTTTGACATCATGACTGTTCTACCTCATCCCTGCTTTCTTCCAATTTGTGTAAATCTAGAAAGCCAGAAAAAGAGTAGCTATCAAACAGTGACATAAAAAATGACAATATGACAGTTGTCTAACAGAAATGCAAATTTCCTTTCTGTGCTGGAACATCAGCAGCAAGTAATTACAGAAACAGTAAATGCTGAATTAGTCTATTCCTTATCGCATTATGTTCTCCTTTCCCCCTGCTGCCCCATTTCTTTCTGTTCTTTCTACATTCCTCTTATTTTTATGTTGTCATCTATTTATATTTATTTTGAGATGACTTTCAAGGACTACACCAATCACTGAATACAGTAAGGTATTTGATGGTGGCACTCTGAGTAATTTCACAACTAAGCAAAAATGGCAGGATACCTCTCTGGCCTTCTGTTTGTCAAGAGCATAAGTAACAAACAACTGCTGGCAAAAATATGGCCACCCACTGAGGAAGGAGTATTTTGAAACTTTAAAAAAAAGTATTTAACTTCAGTGTTGATACTTGAATGTCACAATCCTGTTTCTTTCATTTTAATCCAAAATACTGTGAGTCTCTGTCGTGTCTGTGTCTGCTTTCCCCCCATCTCCCTTTGGAGAAAACATTATAAAATATTTTAGATTTTAGGGAATCTTCCAGGATAATTATTACTGAATTTAATATGGTTTGGAGCTGTAACACAGAAATTTTACAAGGCAAAGTAAATTTTTCTTACAGCACTTTGGGTGATTGTCCAAGCCAGTAAAAAACAGGAGATTAACAACACTGTGTGGTGCCCTGTAAAATGCAAGAAAACACTGCAATTTTTTCCAAAGAAATATAGCAAAGCCTGTAATTCCTAGATGCAATATGCTAAATGTTACAATATGGGGCTGCCCCTAAGTACTTTAGCAATTATAGGCGCTACTGCAAGCTATGAAGGGTGGTTTGTGGGCTCACTCGAAACAGATAAACCTCCAAAACAGATTTATTTATAATTGAAATAAAGCTCCTCAGACTGGAGTGCTACTGTAAGAACCATCCACTGCCTGATGGCAGAGAAGCCAGCCACTAGGAAGGAGGACTTCTTAGTCTTCTCTTTAAGAAGACTAAAGTGAGAAAAAAAAAATAAAAAAATTAAAAGCTTTACTTCTAAATGATTTTTTTTTAGCATGATAGCCAACACTTTTTCTTCTAGAAGGTCTGCTCATAAAACTGAAAATGAATTACAGCACATGCTCAAGGCCTCACCTGGCACTGTCATTTTGACAGACTCATTTTTATTTTAGAACTGGGAGCCTTGCAGTTTTAAAGCCTTTTACAAAAATTATGTTTTCTTTTGTGATACAGAAATAAATTACCTAAGGAAGGGATGAGACTCAGATGCTGTGGTACCAAACTCTTATGTACATTGACAAATAAATTTCTCAAGTAATTTATGCAGCTTAAGAAGTTAAATATATGAAAAGCACATAATGCTAAAGCACTGCTAATGCTAAAGTCCTAAACAGCTACATGTTGTTTCTGAAAAATAAATAATAAAAAAAAAAGAAAAGCACAAACTTAAGCCCCAGACAACTGGCTATTTTCCAATTATTCTACTAGCTGAGCTACTAATCATGCTTTTCAACCACTAAATTGTGCTGTTCTAATATATTTTCAGGAAAATTGTAGCTTAGTGAGCTGTAATTTTTAGATATGAACATATAACATATATTATCCAATATAGGGGTTATGAAATACTTGTGACATGACATTAGGTAAGAAGACTGTAAATTCATTAGCTATTCATTTGGAGCTCTTAAGTCGATCTCTTTCTTTCTGCATATACAGCAGAATGCCCAAGTCCACCTGGCATTTCTTATATCCCAGAAGAGCTAATAAGCCTTGAGATAAATATTTGCATTAAAATCAAAGCAGAGAGAATTGTTTTAATACTAGTAAGTAATTTTTTTATTCCAAAGGCTTTATTGCATGTAAATTAGAACTATACAATTTATGTATTTTAAGAATCAATGACAGCACACTTAAAATAAAGGCATCATATACTAGATGAGTGTGTTACCTTAGCAATGAAAAATATGTTTGTGGTTAGTTTGTTGGGTTTTTTTCATTATTTCCAACTTGAACAATAACCTGCATGAGCAATCTGGTCTAAATAAAATGTTTACTCTGAGTAGGGCATTGGACAGAATGATATCTGAAGGTCTCTTCCAACACGATGAACATGCTGAAGCTAGCTCCAGTTTTCTAAAATGCATTGCTTTGAATCAAAGTCAAGGTACAGACATATTTAATATTGCCTCCTATTATCTTCTCTTACTGAAAAGAGATTTTAGATGAGAATTAGCTTCTACCAGAATGGGTTACCTTTTCAATGTCATGAGTGGCATGTAAAACTGTAAGAGGGTAAATCACAATTAATCTACTGTGATAAACATAAAATGATTAAAATCATAATGTGACAGATACTGATTCATGTCAACATTTCAGGTTGATTTTACTAGTTTCCCATTTCATGGAATCATGGAATACATGCAAAATCATTTGCATGTAAGCTCATGTCACTACTGTTCCAAAGGGCAATTTAAATTTTAAAGTTGCATTTTGTGAGAGATTAAATGAACAATAGTAAGCAAAAGCATAATCTATGCTGTTTAATTTTACTTGGGCTAATTCTTTGGGTTTTGTATATACAATAGAATATTTCAATTGGAAGGGACCTACAACAATAATCTAGTCCAACTGCCTGACCACTTCAGGACTGACCAAAAGTTAAAGCACTTTGTTAAGGGCATTTTCCAAATGCCTTTTAAACACTGAACAAAATATCTTTATCAATGACCAGGACAAGGGGATTGAGTGCACCCTCAGTAAGTTTGCAGACAACACCAAGTTGGGCAGAAGCGCTGATCTGCTTCAGGGGAGATCCGCTTGAGGGTAGAGGTATCTGGACAGGCTGGATCAACGGGCCAAAGCCAAATGAATGAGGTTCAACAAGGCCAAGTGCCAGGTCCTGCACTTGGGTCACAACAACTCCATGCAATGCCACAGGCTTGGGGAAGAGTGGCTGGAAAGCTGCCCCACAGAAAAGGACCTGGGGCTGCTGGTCGATGGCCAGCAGCGTGCCCAGGCAAAAAAGGTGGCCAACAGCATCCTGGCCTATATCAGGAATAGTGCAGCCAGCAGGACTAGGGAAGTGATTGTCCCACTGTATTTGGCACTGGTGAGGCCCCACCTCAAATACTGTGTTTGATTTTGGGCCCCTCACTGCAAGAACGACATTGAGGTTCAAGTTACACCAGGGGAGGCTTTTTCAACTACAGAACTCCTTACTATCTGTTAAAAAGTTCCTACACGATTGTAACTGTTTTCTTCTGGCATTTCAGGAATGGATGCAATATTTCACAAAAAAAAAGGACACTGTCAACATCCTTAATTAATAAGCATGACTAAAATAACATGCCAAATAGGGCTATAAGCAATTTTCAGGCCAAAGTCTTCCCATCCCTTTACCCCACCTACTTGAAGGGCCTGGGATCAGCTCCCAGGAGCTGCTGGTTAACTCACCGTCAGAGCCAGTAGTTTTCCATAGGTGAGATGGGCTGGGATGTGGTCACTCTTGGATCGTAGTGACTCCACGTACCAGCGCTCTGCTTCTGGCAGCCGGCTCATTCTCATGTAGGCTTCTCCTACAGGGTGAAACAAATGGTAAGAATACCCAAAATTTCTCAGGGCTTCCATAATTTATTAGTTCATTTATAAATTGCTATGTATTAAATGGGCAGAGGTCTTGAAAAGGGTGAAGTGCTTTGAAGCTTTCAACACCTTCAATGACACACACACAAAAAGCTTTACAGACACTTGATGAAGCATACTGAGTTATGGTCTTATTAGGGCTGAAAGAGCATGGTTTAGATGAAAGTCTTGTTGGAACAGAATTGCAAGAGAGAGCTCCATCTGCTAAGTTTCAGCCAAAAGCCTCAAACTAACAGAATTTTTACCACATCTACTGCAGAAAAGTTACTTCTTTTCCATCAGTCTACATTGCACAGCATGGAATGGTAGGGAGAATACAGGAAGTGTTTGCATTTAATCATAATACATCAAGAACCTAGATTTTTTAAAAACTAGGAAAGGTTAGGAAAACAGCCCTGAAAGTATATTGGAGGAAGGGGCAAGACATTAAAACCCTAATCTCTGAAATTAGGTTATGTGCCATGATTAGTTTAAATTAGAATATTGTATCCATAATATTAAAATTGATAGTCTTAAGAAGTCATGAACGAAACAACCAAAACTGTACATTTTTCAAAGTTAAATCCTTTACTGTGAGAGGCTGAGGCAGACAATGTTGAAGAACAAGAGATGACTGGGACGTCAGAAAGCCATATACTGTGGTACAGATAATTGCAGTCTTGAAGTTTCTGAGAAAGAATTTAGCATATAAAGCAGCAGCTTCTCAAAGAAGCAAACAAACAAATTTCTCAAAGGTTGGAAATAAGCAATATCAAACAAGTATGTAATGGTGAAGAGCAGCAGCTTTCAGATTAATAGGCTGCATATACACAGCCCGTTCATGAGGGCCTTGGATATAAATGTGCCCTTGCCCAAGCCAATGACAGACTGAAAATGCCTACAGGAGAACCAGGTTTTCATAATCTCACCAGCTGATTAATTCCAAATAAATGGCTAACTATCTCCCCAAAATCGTGAAGTCATAGTTTATCCAGTGCCACCACTAGAAGATCAAGAGAGGACTACAGCTGACCAAAACAGAGGTCAGCTAAGCCTGTTTCCAGGTGAGTCACTGCCCCCAGGCCTGCATTACATGGAAATTAATAGCTTTAAGGGCATCATGGAGAGAGAGAAGGACCAATGTTCTTTATTCAAGCTTTAAGCCAACTACCATACCCCCAAAACTTAGAGAAAAAAGTGCCATATACATGCTTAAAAAAGTAAAATAGAAGGAACTCTCACCATGGGAGCTACTTTATCTTGAGTATTTACATTAAAATTAAATTTAATTTACAGAATCACAGAATCTTCTAGGTTGGAAGGGACCTTAAAGATCATCTTGTCCAACCGTCAACCTAACTGACAAAAATAGACACCCACACAAAAAGTTTAGGTCCAGGTAGATATTTTTTTTTTGCTGTCTTTGTCACCAGAGGATAGGGATCCTAGGCAAAAAGTGCCACAAAAGTTTGAGGTTCAGGAATTAGGGTGCAGTGCATGCAAAAATCACCTAACCACAGCCTACAGATAAAAGCTGTGATGTAGAGTCAGAAGTCACACTGAGCCAAAGCTAAGGGAAGACAACATGAACTTTTATGAGCAAATAGAGTTCTTACAAAAAATGGTGCAAGCCTGTAAATCTAGCAGACCAGGATTTCTAATTCAAAGATATACAGAGCATTCTGTACTAATGCACTGGTCTCTGATACCTGATTACATACACAGAAGGAGCTGATGTTTCAGTCCCAGAAGTACTCAAGTCATTTATTGCTGGTTAGGGCCAAACTAAAAGAACAATTTAAAAAAAAAAAACACAACAAACAACCCAAGCCAAATAAAAAAAAAATCCAAATAGGAAAGAAACCCCAAAAGAACACGAACATTCCCCAAAACTTATGATAAAATTCAGGGATATCAACATCGCATGCATTTTTTTCACCATGTCAGCACTCACAAATAAGTGACGTAACATTATACCTTGTTATGCACAAAACAAAATCATGAAGTCAAGTGTTGAAAGGATGGAAGAAGCCAGAAGTCAAGCTATATGCTCCCCTCATACTCCTCTCCCTAGCTATACGCTTTATGGCAGAATGTTTAATTGTTTGATTGCATACTCTTTTTCCCACAGGCCCCTGCTTCAATTAGCATATAGGAAATGAGGAATCCATACTGCTTTTTTCTTTTCTTTTCTTTAAATGGAAAATTCCAGCCCTTGGCAAAGTTTCAAGCAATTAACAACAAGATCCTTTAAAAAGTAATGTAAGCAGCCATAAGAGATGGAGTTATCTGCTGGTAGTATATGCTGAAGGCACTGCCAAATTTCAGAAAGATCCAAGGTTCTAATCTATTTTCCATGATGGATTCTGATATAAGAAGAGATTAACATCTTCAGAGAACTGTCAAATTCCATTTTTAATAGGTTTTAAGAGCTCAACTACTTTACAAGCTAACCTCCTTAAATTTTGAGGGTATTTCTGTGCGGCACATCTAGAAATGAAGCTACAAGACGTCAATCTAAATGTCAAACTGTAAAGAAAGGAATTTTATTCCTCTAAAAAATTTACAGAGAATTCACCATGGCTGAACATTCTTTTTCTGAAGAGTTTTTTCTGCCCATAAGCCCCATATCATCAAGAATTGCTATATTATAAGCAATTAGAACATGTAATTACTATAGAAGGAAGCAATGTTAGGGTGTCTGATTTCATCTTCTAAATGATTTACAGTGACACCCCTATCTAAAAAGAAATCAAAGTTGAAAACTAACAAAGGCTCTGCCACTGCCATACTCAAAGACAAGGATAAAAATCAAACATCTGTTAATTGAAGTGTTAGACTGATGCAATTTTAATAAAAGCCATTCCAGCTTAAGATAGTTTTCCAACAAAATGTCAGAGAAAACATGTAGGGATTGACTTCTGTCATTCAGGATGTATTTGTGTATTGGAGTGTCTGAGATTAAAATGAGAAAAACAGTGTTTGTCATTTAAATCCTGTATTTTTATAAACTTACAACATGAATTATTTAGTCATTAGGAATATAACACAGTGTCCATTGGCAGAAAATATGCAAACCAATGGCACATGTGAGCAGGTTTCTTTATTTACTTTAACAATTATTTAATTTGTAAAATCTTTCAAAACATGTTAAAAATCTGAAAAGGTCATACACACACACAATTTATTAATGAAACTTGTTGGCTCTATGAAGTTCAAGAGAGTTCTATTCTACTTTTCTGTTGAAGGTTACAACAACAGAGAAAGACATTCATGGCAGTGGAAACCTTAAGACATAAATTAACAGTTATTTTAGTTCCCTAATCCATACCAACATACAACCATGTGCAGCATTGCCTGCACAATCAGTGGTGGCAAGAAATTCAACAGCTAATTGGAGTAAAAGGAAACAAATGAGTAATTAAAAAATGTTTCAATTTTACACAGTTCAGCTAACATTTTGTGTTATTTATGCACCAACTTCTTAGCCTATTGCAGAAGGAAGAAGATAGAATATTTAATTGTAACTCTCATTCCTTATGTAGTACAAGAAAACACATTAATCTGCAACTGAAACACTATAAAAAGGAGTATATACATAGTTCATTAACACTTCATGACAAAGGAATGAGGAATGGGCTACCTTTTAACTAGACTTACACCACTAAAATCCTAGTACTCAAGTGGATTTTCTCTGCCATAGAGATAGATCAGTTGCAAGACTACCATTCTCCAAAGCAGCATTTCCTCTTATTTTGTAAGAATCTTTGGGACTGAAAAATAATCTTTCAAAATAAACAAACAAAAAAGAAAAACCCAACAAATTAAAACAACAACAAAACCACATCTACTTAAATAATCCCAAGACAAATAAAGAGTAATTAAAGAACAATAACAATCAAATTAAACATTAAATATTTATATTAAATGGTAATGCTAACAAAGGATCAGATTGCTAGCAGCTATTTCCCTTGAAAGGCTTACTTTATACTCAATAATTAAGTGCAATATGAGCTTAATACAAATCCTCAAAAAAAAAAGTATTAAGAAGTTCGGATTTTCTAATACATATCATACATTATTAGAAAGCAAAATTTGGTACCATTTACATGAATGTATGTTATACGGTTCTAGATTAAACTCTCATCTGCTGATTTCTGATTTGTTCTGTTTCCGATGCATGTTGTCATACCAAACAAAGGCCATTTCCTTGTAGAAGCACGTTAGATTTACCTATGAGCAAGTACAATGGCACTATGGATATAATAGCCCTGTGCCTCTACAGATGGCATGTACCTATACTTTTAGATTAAAAACATATGTCCCTCCTGTGGTCCTCCTCTTAGTTCCCAAAAGATAATATTGAAAAGACTACTGAAAAATTATCTGCGTAAAGGAGACAATGCAGGGTAAGTCTGCCTTGGATCATCCTTGTGTATGTTCATTTTCTGCCACTCAAATTGCTGGATGGTAAAAACATAACATATAGAATATAGAATATAGAATATAGAATTTGGCATTGACAAAAGCAGAAGGCAAAACAGAAAGGAAGATGGAGATGCACTTTGAAAAGGAAAATATCTAATAAATACATTCACCCAGGAATTAAATTTCATTTTTCCCTCATTTCTTTCAATTGGGAACATAAACAGGTTGCCTTAGAAAATGATGGAGAGGTGTGTATCCCTGTGCAACCCAATACCACAAGAGGGTTGTGTTTTTCGTGATGCAACTGTGTAGCCTCATTGTGCAAACCAAGGCTGCAGATGCATTTAGCACAAACGCCCTTCCCCTGATAAATAATTTCCTTCTTTCTTCCCTTAGGTACCAGTGCATACAATAACATCATAAATCTAGAAGCATAGTTTGATGTTACACTATACTGATGTTTAAGATATACTGCAAAAGATTAACAGTCTTGGTGATAAATATGCAGTGCATGCACATCTTTAGT